GAACAGTTTTATAAATCAGAGCTCTGCTAACAGTGTATTAGTTAGTACCAAGCAACCCTTATTCCTTGCTTCTCCTTGCCCCTCTGACCAACCCTTGCTACCCTGCCCAGCACTGCCCATGCCTAGGTCTTCAGCTACTCACCAGCAAGCTGCCTCCCACCTCTCACAACCCAGAGCCAATTCAGCTACCCATCTCACCTGCATCTAGACAAAAGTAAAGTAGGGGAACTGAAAGACATTAAATAGAATACTGAAGGGAGAGGAGTTATGATGGGAGTTCTTCAAAATAGTTTGCACCTAACTTTCTTCATCAAAATGAAGAAATAAGTCAATTTTCTGCAATTCAATCTATAGGAATAGGATACAAAATGCCATCTTCTGAGCTTCCTGGAAAATGGTAGCTCAACAACACTGAAATGGAAATCCAAAGGAATTTTATAATTGCACTCTGCCTTCCCTCCAGTTCTTGCTCTTGAAAATCCTTGCAATTTGGATGTGGTCTTAAAATATCTTTAGAAGTCTGTCATTTAAAATATTTTAAGTAATCTATACTAAGACAATAAAAAAGCCAAATCAAAACTCAAAAAGGAAGACAAAATGACCTCTACCTTCATTTAATCTCTTTTAAAAATTAAACTATAGTATAACCTCATATGTTTTCATGAAAAATCATTCAGAAGTTTATGGATTAGCTTTAGAACATCTTTAAGTTACCTAAGTAACAGAGGTCTTCTTAGCACTGTTACCTAATAAAAGTTTTCCTCCAGTTTCTTCTAAATTTCTCTACAGCAAGTTACTGTACAAAAATAATTATTTTTCCAAATAACTGCTGATTTACTTTTTGTACAAAAATGAATATATATAAACTTTTCCTTTTTGACTTGTATCAGTGTGAACATTTTAACATAATGGGATATAGATACTGAACTACAGTACTGATAACTGGTGACAGGTACACTTCTTTGCAGGCTGATATAAAAACACAGGTGGTTTCTTGGTTCTTCCTTGCCCTATTTATGGCACCCCCTCCCAAAAAAATTCTATTTTTATTGAGGTATAGCACAGAACTATATCAGCACCTCAATGACTTCCCCCACTCTGAACAGACACACATTAGAGATCTCAAATTTCAAGAAATCTGCCAGATAGCTCTTCATACAACTGAGATGTATTATGCCTCCAAAGGGTATGGATTCAGTAGCTATGGGGCTACAGGAGGTCTTCTTTTGTCTGTCTCCTTCTCTGCCTTTGTGATCTGCTTCTCCTCAACCCCTGCTGATATGTCACTCTTTTTCTTTTTCTGTCTTCTTGTCTGTTGTTTTCAGATATGCATGAAGCCAAGAAGTCTGAAAGAAAAGGCGAGCCTTTTATAGTCTCTGGGTCCTCGTGCTACTTTCCTGCTGAGAATCCAGGTCTTACTTATTACTCAAGTACCACAGCACAGGTGGTTGTTGAAGCAGTGTGGCATGGTGGAAAAACACATCTATTTTGGGAGCACAGGAAGTTGGTTCGAAACTGGCACCCCACACTTACTACCTGTGTGACCTTGGGCAAGGTGCTTAACCTTACTGGGCCTCAGTTACTCTCATCTATAAAATAAGGGCCTGGGAGATCCCCACCACATTCTCAACAAGGACAGCTTTTAAGTTCAGAGTCATTTTAGAAGACCAGAATGCAAATACTTTGTTAAAACAATAATCATCAAATAATAGATGCCTCTCTCTATATTTTATTTTTAGGATAAACAAGCAAATTACAACAAAACTAGGAAATAAAATCTTCCAGGACATGTCCTGGGTCAACATACATTTATCCCATCTTGTACTCATTTTATTACAACTGGGACTCAGTAACATTTGGTAGTATAGGGAACTGCTTTATCAAATTCAGGGTCAAGAGGAGGGGGCATATACTTTTCCTTTTCCCTACCCTCCAGATGTCAGTCTCAAAGTCACAACAAATTCACCACTTTCTTTTCATCTTCTTTTTTAGATAAATAAGAAAAGTACCAATGCCTGACTGCGATGGACTATCCTTAAAGAGCTAATATATTGCATTAAAAAGAACATAGGACTTGAGAATCAGGAGGATCTGGTTTTCAAATACTGCTTCAGATACTTACAGCCATGTTAGCTGGCCAAGTCATTTAAACTCTCTCAGACTTTTTCCTTACCTGTAAAATGAGGATAATGATAGCACCTACACCTCACAGGGTTGCTATGAAGATGAAATAAGATAAAACATGTAAAGCACTCAGCAAACCGTAAGAATTATATGTTATCTGTTGACTTTATAAGCAATTTGGAATTACACTAAAAAAAAATACCCATATCCTTTAACGTAGAAAGATCTCCTATATACCAGAATGTTTATAATAGTGCTTTTTTTGTACGAGTAAAAGAACTAGAACCAAGGTAGATGCCCATCAATGGGGGAATGGCTAAGCAAATTGTGGTACATGAATTTAACAGAATACTGCCTTACCTCAAAAAGGAATATGAAAAATTTTATAAAAGTATGGGAAGACTTACATGAACTTTAGAGTGACATTATCAGAATCATGAGAAAATACAGACACAGACACACACACAGAAAGAAAGAAAAAGAGCTCAATGGTATATAATTATAAAAGACCAAGTTTGGCCCCAGAGAAAAGCTAGAAAAAATGTACTGCCTACCCTTCATTTGCAGGGATGAAATGAGGCACACACTCTACGAGTCAGCTGGTATGTTGACTGGTTTTGCTGATCTGCTTCCCCTCACTATTTTTTATTCTGTTACAAAGATGGCTGACTGAGTAAAGAAGAAGGGAAGGAAACACTTCAAAATTAAGGTGATGCAAAGAGTGACCAATAATTTCTTTTTAACAAAGAATAATGGGGCATCCTTGGTACCACACCTCCTCTTCTTTTGAAGAAAGAAGTAACATAGCTATGATGCTCCATAACTGAATTAAATTCAACAATTTAAACACAAACTGCTCCATCTGTATCTATTCTATGCATTAGTATAAGAAAGGTTATACACAGATCACTCCCACCCTCACGGAGTTTGACTTTTACCAAGGAGCCGCCAGTACATAGTTAAGTAAATATGCAAAATAGATACAAAGTAAATACAAAGCAATGGTAAAGGAAGCACTAAGTGCAGGGTTGGATGAGGCTGGTGCTTCTGTAGAAGGGGACCCCTAAACTGTACTCTGAAATAAGCTAAGGATTTTGAGGCAAGAAAAGCATTCCACATACGGGCAAACAGCCTGAGCAAAAGAAGGGAAGGGTGGAAAATGGAGTTGTCACGACCAGAAAAGAGCAAGTTGGATAGTTTGGCGGGAGCACACGGTGCATGAGGGAAAAATAAGATGAAATCAGATAGGGAAGATCAATGGGAGCCAGATTGTGAAGTGTTTTACATTACAAAAGATGTCAAACGTATTTGATTTTAGATGCAATTAAAGGCTCTGAAAGGGTATCAGCTCAGCAGGCATGTAGGAGAGACACTGAATAGATCAGAGCCTTGATTCAGTGACACCAAACAGGAGGATACTGCAGTAGGCCGGGCTAATAGTGACAAGAGCCACAAAGAGAGTGGTTGTGGTCTGAGTAGAAATAAAGAGATGACAGACGCAAGGGACCATTTGTGCAGGCAGAAACACAAGACTGGGCAATAGACTGGCTATGAAGAGTCTAAGAGAGCATGAAGAGTTACAAATAACTCCTGGACCATGTAACTAGGTTACTGGAAGTAGCATAGCCTTGACAGAAACAAGAACACCCAGGCAGAGATGTCCAGCAGCCTGGTAGTCATAGAACTCAAGAGAAAAAATGAGGCCTGGATATATGGATTTGTCAGTCACAGCTGATGAGATCCCCATGAGAGAAAAGAGAACAGGACTCACAACAGGGCCCTGGGGTAAAAACACAAAAAAAGAAGGGAAGACATAAATAATGATCAAGGAAACTGAAAAGGAACAGTCCAGACAGGAAGGAAATTACAACAAAGCTATGTCACGAAAACCACAGAGCCGATAGCACATAAGTGGAGGGATGGCTAAACATGTCAATAGTTGTAGAATGGTTGAGAAGAGTAAGGACTCAAAAAAGACCACTGGATTTATCAGCAATTAAGCTATTACTGGTATCTTTGGAAAGAGCAATTTCAGAGAAGTAGTACGGAGAATTTGAGAATTTAATGGAAAGTGAAAAAGTCTAGCCATCTTTCTCTAAGAGTCTGGCAAAAAAAAAAGAAGATATCATCAATTGCTTAAGGGGATGGCAGAGTTAAGTGGAGATTTTCTGAGTTTGGGGAAGATATGTAGGTAGCAAGGAAGAAGCCACTGGATAAAGAGACTGATGATGAGAGAAAGTGGACAATAGAAGGGGTAAGCTCCCAGGAGACAAAAGGGGATGGAATCAAAGGAACAATTAGAGGGGTTCAGAGAGAATCGGCTAATTCCTTGAGAGTGAGGATGATAGAGAGAATCTGAGGTACAGAAGTAATGAGGTCATGGTTATGGCATAGATATGGTTATTTCCTTCCTCATGTACTCACAGGTTTGAGAGAGAACTTTGGAAAAATTCACAGGATCATGAAAATTTTACAAGGCCAGTTTGATCTCAGACAACTCCTGTACTTTCAAGAAACACAACCTGTTAACACAACTCAAGAAAGATGTAAATTTATTTATGGACACTATGCCCATTTGCTCATTACCTTCATTCTAGATAACAACTATGTATTTTTTAATATTTCGCTAATGAAAGAGGGCCTAATTAAAAGCCTTGGCATCTTAAGTCCTCTATTTTACCTGCATTCTGTCTTGGAAAGGAAATCATACACCTCTTCCCTTACCTGCTATAATTATGTATGCTGCTCAATAAAACCATTCTTGACTCTCAACTAACAGGGTGCCACTGAGAGAAATTTTTTAAAAAACAAAACTTACCAACAATTTCAACTACAATGCTTTCCCTACCCTGACACCCAAAGATAAAACAACTCACTTTTAACATTTTTTTATTTGCAGTGTTCTTGCCACATTCTCTCCTTAGTTGTTCACTCATAGCTTGTAATTCTCTTCCAAAGTGGATCATTCTTTCAATGGCTGCTTGACTTCCTCCACAAAGCTGTCGCCTCAAGTGACTTGAATCAACTTCTACAAAATAATGACCTTCCGTCAGTAATATTACCAAAAAAAAAAAAAAAAATCAAACCTATTATTACCCTAATCAAAATGACAATATAATCAAGACAATTCCACTCATGAAATATACCTTATATTTCAACTAAGAAATATATACTAATGAAGTCTGACTTAGATGTCTAGCTTTATAGTGCAATTAACATTTAACATTAGAACATTAACATTTTATCCATTTATAAAATAAGCAAAGAATCCAAATAATAAACATGAATTAGGGACAAGGAGACTCAAATTCCTTTTCCTGATTTCCATGTAACCCTTGGGCATCTCATTATGGTGTGCTGTGTTTCTAATACTATCTTTACCTTTTCCAAGTTACAAAAGCTTAAAATACACAAACAGGTAAATTATAAGAGGGCAACAGAAGACTAAAACTTGGCATAATGGAAAATGTTACTTTTAAAGTCCCCAAGCAGCATTAAATCAAAAAGGTCACATTATATGTCAGGCTGCTCTAAATACTATACAGGAAATAATGGAATTAACTATTGAGAACAAGGTAAAATCAAATTTCTGTAAATCAAGAGGTGGACTATTTAACCCTTGAACAATCTCACTAAGTCTTTACTAAGGCCATATATCTTAACAATGAAAAGTCATGTAAGAAAATGATTCAACAATAATTATCTTAATTGCCAAATCACTTTCTAAAATAAAAGATGTTCTTCCAAAGTTGATTCCATCATTAACATAAATAGAAGTTGCAGATGCTTTTAAACTACTTTTTTTTGCTTTAAAAAGGTATATAGTTCTTTATTAATAAGTTTATTTTCAAAAGGGTAATACATATCCTTGCATTTATAAAAAGCACATTTCCTTATAAACACTCTAGAAACATTTGTTTCTTTACTAACAATTGAATAAATGTGTTTACCTCAACATACTGAAGAAATCCAATGCTGCCATGGAGTTTCTGCTGAATAAATCATTTAAAAGCTTCAATAATTTTAACTCTCCCAACTGTGGAGAATTCTGATAATCACTGAACTGTGTGGTACCATTTGCAATATAAGGTAACAGAACAGTGCAACTAAGCATGCTATTAAGATTTAGAATGACAGCTCTATTATAGGGAGTTCAGTTTGGCTGGGGATAAAAAAGCCAACAAAAACTATCCCTATCCAACTTTGACTTCTGGATTATATCTAAATAAACAGGACTTTATACATCCCCTACCTTCATATGCACATAAGGTTTTAACACTAATTTGAAAACTGCCACTACTGCCAATAGATGTAATAATTTTATCCAGAAAAATAAATTACTTAGGAATAGCCCCAAATTATTTGGTAAGGAAAAGTATTAGACAATCTATTTCCAAAGGAATTATTTGAAAGAGAATGGTAACTCGCTTCTGTATTCTTCAATTTCCTCTAATAATCCCCCTCAAAAAACCAGATTAAGTAAACTATATTACTTTAAAATCCAAAAAACACACATCTGTAAATTCAATTTGTGTCTGTCAGTTGTTAATGAGCACAAACAAGAACATAACCTTGCAGCTACCATTTTTATTAAAAATACAAGAAATATCACTGCAGACCCATTTCGGTGTCACATTCTTCCATTTCGTGGTCATGCTTAGAGCTACCATTTAGGAAACCATTGGATGAAGTCTCTCCAACTCCATTGGAATAGTGATCAGTTTCCATGTCTACATCATTGCTGCAAAAGGAAAAAACAAACCTAATTACAAGAAATTACATACTTGTAAAAAGTTTTAAAATACAGTCTCGCTCAACCATACTTCTAATTATGTTACTTCATAATGTAATACAGCACAACTTTACAAAGGTGTTTAGTCAAAACTAATATGTTCATGATAAATACATGGTTGACTCCTATCAGATGACGTAGACTTATGTGAAAGAAAGAAAAAAGTATATATAGAAAAAAAAAAGCTTTTTCTTTTTCAAAATATTTATTTTCCTATACATTCTCATTCAACCCTCACAATAATCAATACACCAATGAAAAAATACTTTTCTGTTCCTACCTAGCAACAAACCACCAGCCACGACATGAAACGCCATCAATCCCTTCATTTTTCTAGCTCCTTTCCACACCCTACCCAGAATGCAGTTATTCTCTATTCTCAAAAGTCCACCCCTATAAAGCTATTTGTTTCTCACATTTAGATCTAAACTGCTCGAATTCGTCTTCTTCCTCAAAATGTTCTCAATAGCTTAATATTTTTCTTTACCTTCTTCCAAAAGACCCTCAAAAGGCTTAAAAAAAAACAAACAAACCCAACCTGTAGTCAAGTCTCAGGGTTTCTACTTAAATCTCATCCTTCCAGCACGTTAGCACCGTCTCTTAAGCCACCTAAATTCCATGGCACTATCAAACCTTGACGTTAAACTATCCTTTATAATTGTACTTTTCCATTCTACTTGATATCAGAATCAACTAAATCTATGAATTGATCCCTCTCAAATCTTCTTCTCCTCTGCCCTTTTCCACAGGGAAATAATCCGATATCACTATTTCCAATTTGATTTTTTAATAGAAATCTCAAAACAATGTATTCACATTTTTTCTTCCTTTTTTCATTTGTTGATCTGCTTAATTTCAGGATATCTAATCCAATATTCTGCTGCTGCCTCAAACTTGATTAAGGCAGACAGAACATGTCTCCTTTCTACTCAGGGGTCAATCTGGGACTAGAACCTAGGTCACCTGATTTTGTTTGTTCAGTACATTTTCTACTTTGGTGCTTAATCTTCCTTGCCTATGGTAACAGAGGATCTTGTTGTATTCCATGAAACACTTTCCCACAGAAACCATAATCAATGTGTATTAGGTTTGAAGGCTAGCGTCTATTGCCTAATAATGCCTAATTGTGACTACTTAATAGACGTAACCTTGGTTAAGTCAATTAACCTTTCTTAGGGCTCAGCATGACTCTGATTCTCTCACAACACACAGACACAGACACAGAGGGAGACACATCCACCCACCCACCACCAGCACCACCACCAGCACCACCACCACAAGGGCTATGTTCTCACTCATCCCTCTCTAGCCTCAGGCTCTGTTTCTTCTTCCCCGATCCTTGATGCCTTTTTCCTGGTACGGATAGATGACCACTTAAGACCACACTTTTAATATTCTGCTACTAGCAACTAAGCTATAAAGCCTAGAGTGATTGCTTACCTGGTGAAGCTATTAATTTGTTGTGACCTTGACATATTTATACTATTCAGTTCTGGGACATTTAAACTGGTTGACTGGTGTTTACTATGACAGTAGGATTGATGTGCTTTATTTGATATTACTCCATTACTACAACTTTCAAAACCTAAAGAAAAGAGGAATAAAAGATTTAATAATAAAAGAAAAAAGTAATTTAATTTGCTTATGTGGTCAGGGTCTAAATTTAATTAGCAAAACATTCCACAATCTGTATTAGTCATAATGCACAAGACAATAAAAATCTCAAATAACAAATGAAAAAGCATTTATTAGGTCAGGCACCATATAAATAACAGATTTATTTAATGATATAAATATTATGTAATCTTTATATTACATGGGAACTGAGCCACTGACAACAAAGGTGATTTTCCTAATGAACTCAAACCTTTTTGAAAGGGGGTGAAGAAATTCTAATATTTATTGTGAGTTTCCTATGCGTCAGAACACGTTAGTATCCAAAATATTAGTACATATTCTCTAGCGAAATACATGGCAACCTTATTCAAAAGATGTATATGCTTAAGGTAGATTGCATTGTAACATTTTACTATGGATTTTGGTGGATTTTATATGACACATACAAATAAATAAGATGTTCCCTGCCATTTGATCTAGGTTATTACAAAATAAATGGAAAGATAAAATTCAGCCTTAATTAGATACTACTTTCAGATCCAGCTGATGTAACTTGAAAATACTTTCTAAGTGACAACCCATACCCTTAAAAAGTTTGGCCCACTTTGTTACACTATGACAAGATTTCAGATAAAAGCCACACACACACACACACACACACACACACACACACACACACACACACCACACCCATACATTCTTGGATGGACATTGTGAATTTGTTTTACTTGCTATGCATATTTGTTACAAGGGTCTTTCTCTACCACCCCCCCTGCTTGTTAATGGGGGGGGAGGGTAGGGAAATCAATAAACTGTCACCTCCACTCAACTGATAAGTGTTAATGACAATTTGTTTTAATGACAATTTATATATTAATGTTCCTATAGACATTTCACTCTCTCAACCCCAAAGTTAAGAAGCCCAAAACCATATATTTATTGTTCAAATGGCCACTGGAAGCCACCTAGACTAAACCTATTTTTCAGTTAAGACAACTGAGGCACAGGAGTGAAGTGACTTGTCTAGGGTAACAGAACTAAGTATCTGAGGTGGGATTTGAATCGAGATCTTCCTGACTCTAAGTCTGTATATAACACATCCACAACAACAAACGTCATTGAGCTCTGACCATGTTGAAATCAACCAAAGAATACCAACTGGCTAAAAATCAGCATTTAATGTTTACTTTCAAATGAAACTTTCTGAAAAACATTTTACGGTACTTTTTACCCACTTATTAAAAATTGTAAGGAAAAGCAAAAATACCAAGTTCTCTAGATGAACCTCACCAGGGAAATGTGTGGTAGTTCCTTTGCCTGATGCTAAACTGTGGATATTCATTCCATGGCTGGGGCTCACGCTTGGACTACTAAATGGTCGAGGACTAACAGGATAACTGTCTTGAGACTTTGGACTCCGACCTCCTAAACACCTTACTTCACTATCAGTACCATTCACCATTTCTATAAACTGCCGAACCCTAAAGAATAAAAGAAAGATGACATTATAGTATATATTACACAAAGGCATTAAACGTGGTGCTTTATCTCAATGTATTTGACAGCATCCTGCATATTAATTAATGATCTGAATTTTAAGTGATTGATTTTGCAAAATAAATAAATAAATAAATAAATTTCAGAATTTTTCCAATATTGTATGTAAATACTGGGGATGGTGGGAAGGGAGGAAGAGGAGGTATTTTTTTTTTTTTGTTAAAAGGAGTTAAAGTAACCAATAATTTGAGATGAGATGATTTAAGTTAAGCAAAATAACAAAATATGATTTTATTTTAAATCAATCATATGCCTAAGAATGATGTTAATAAGGTCTCAAGAAAATGAGTATCATTCAAAACGAGTCTGTATAAGATCTACTCTCTTATATCGAGATTTTCCATGGGAAATACAACTCTAGAACCAAGATTTTTTAATGCAAAAAATATTGAGGAAACAGGTTAATTTTTAAAAAAGAAGTCCCAAAAGATTTATTGCAAGGAGCTATTTTAAAAATAAAAAAGACATACAGAGCCTAATTATAGATCTTACAATGAAGAATTACAGAAGTAAAATATTGTCAGTTAACAAAATATTGTATTTTTTAACAATGCATGTTTTCATTATTTAAACATTCCATTTTAAAGGAAGAATCTTACAAATATTTAAACAAAAGCAAAATTAAATTTAAAGCAATTGCAGTACTATACATCAAATCACCTATGAGAAACTCACTTTAATGTGAATAGGAGATTAGGATTTCTTTCAAGTAAACTTGGATATAACTGTTGTGTTGTTTCAATAGCTTCTCCCATTCTTCCTGCTAATACCAATTTCTGAATTCCTGTTCATTAAAATGAAGTAAAAAGTTAACTTTTTAAAAACCTAAAAGCCAGGTACCTAAAAGTCTGCAGTAATTGTTTATTATTTACTCTCAATGATAGGTTTCTATATCTCCCTTGAAAGCCTTGGTCTCAAATAGAAAGGAGAAGCCACATTTTGGGATATAGGCATACCATGAAGAATAACATTAAATGGCTCACTTTAAAAAAATTATTTTAGGCAAAACAATATTACTGGTGGGAAACTAAGTTACATAGAAATTATGTTTTGAATACTTTAGTAAGCAATGTGACAAATAAGCAAACCAACATTAAGAGATATTAATTATACTAGGGCTCATGCAGTAACTCATTCTTCCAAAAATATGACTGTCTCAGCCAGATTAACACCATAGTACTTTTTGTTTAAAATGTTAGAATGATGTTATTTTGAAGTAATACTTGTCAGGGCACTATTATATTTGGTTATGCCCATGTAATCAAAAAACAGAAAGTCATACACCTATGTTCAATATATACAATATAGATCAATGTACATAATGATGAAAAATGCTAAGTAAACACTACAGTTTCAAGTGTAATTATGGAAACTAAAGAATCATAAAACAAATAAAATCCTTTATCTGATTCTTGTCTAAAAAAATAAGCTAAGCTTTACACATTAATATGGCTTTAAACTGAGCAGTTTTTTTCAAAAGCAGTTAAGTATACTCATGTCAAATTGCCTCTGTTACAAATAAAACAAATTCTGATATAGTCCACGACCATTAAAGTTAAACTAATTTGCCACTGTAGCAACAGACGTAACAACTTTGGCTTCATTAGCACCAGTCCCCACCAATTATTTAAATCATTTTTTATTTTTAATATCTTCTACATAAGAATCTTTTGGCTTCAAAGTTAAGAGAATATATGATTTTTTTTCCTTGCAAGTAGGTACAAAGGGCTTGGCCATCAATCAGGAAGACATTTCTTTGCTTTTTTTTTTTAGGGAGACATTTCTTACCAAAAAATTTTTGCAAATTATTTTTGTATCAATACACAGAATTACATGACAATTCTTTTTCTTATTCATTCTCTCTGAAGTTGACCATCAAAATGTTTATTAGAATGAACTTTGTGGATCTAAAATTATTCTGAAATTATATAAATGAACAATTTAAAATGAAAAGCATTGGAAGCAAACTTCACAAAAATGACACAGCTTGAAACTTAAACCCTAAATAAAACATTAACCATACTGCACTGAGTTCTTACTTTGTCTGTTCTTAATTGAAGCTAATTCTTCTAGTACGGTCTGGTCTGTAGATCTGGCAAATGCTTCTGCTGTGGCACAGTACCCATGATGTACTAAATAAGATGAAACCATTCTTTAAAAAAAAAAAAAAAGAATGAACATATCCTTAATTAGAAACATATACATATATATTTCATTCTATAATTTGTGTTTAAAAGTATTTCTCAGAATATAGGAACATTTCAGACCTCAACTTTTAAAGATGCCTAAATAATCATGTGTCATACATCTATGTAGCTTTTCTAAAAAGAAAAAAAAAATGTTCTAAAGGCCAAACACGCTTAGATTGCTACTTCCTAGAAGTCTCATGAGCATAAATGTCATCTATTTTTCTTAATGCTTGCTCCCTTCACAAGGGAGCAGATTTAGAACTGGAAGGGATCTAGAAAGTCATCTACTCCATTTCCATCACTTTACAGATGAGGAGAACTGAGGCGCAGAAAGGTGAAGTACGTCATCTGCTGTCATACGCATATGATCATATGCAGCTAAGCCATGATTCAAACCCAGGCCTTCTGACTCCAAATTCAGAATTCCTTCTACTGAACATGATAACTTCTTCCTTATCCTTTCTCATTTCCACCGACCATACTCTTCCCCTAAATTCTATGAGTATAATATTCAAATGTGTCCTCCTCTACCCTGTGATTAGCTAAAGTGTTATTGGGAATGTAGGGATAGCTGAATCTCATTCAACATTTATTAAGTGCTTCCTATATGCTTCCTATATATCTCACTGTGAGAGATGATACAAATTCCAAAAGCAAAAAAACAAAATAGTCCCTGACTTCAAAAACATTCTGCTGAAGACGATGAGACATGCACATAAGTATAATAAAATAATACAAGGTAGCCAGTAATAGAAGCAAAGAAGAGATCCAGACAAAATACCATGATACTATTTGACGGGGAAAATACTTTAAAATACTTCAAAATACTTAAATTGGGCAAGTTGGGGGCAGCCAGGTGGCACAGTGGATAGAGCACCAGCCCTGAAATCAGGAGAACTTGAGTTCAAATCTCGCCTCAGACACTTGATACTTACTAGCTGTGTGACCTTGGGCAAGTTCCCTTAACCCCATTGCCCAGTCAAAAAAAAAAACTGGGGGCAAGTAGAAGAGAACAAGGAAGACTGTATCAGAAAAGCGGCATCTAAGTTGGGCCATCAAGCAAGATAAAGAATCTGAAAGGTAGAAATGCAGAAGGAATACATTCTAAGCTTAGAAAGAACACACAGAGATCTCAGATGTAATGTCAAGTTTGAGGATCAGCTAAATTAGAATGAAAAGTACATGGAGAGTTATGCGGCTGGAAAGGTAGGCTAGTAGAGAGAGAATTAAATGCCAGCCAGGCTGAAAGTTTGTATCTTATACTGGACGTGTGCCTTAAAAAGTTTATTTTGGCACAAGGAAAAGGAGGAGACCCATTTCCTGGCTAGTACTACAGTCCAGGCAAGTGGTTATGAGGGCCTGAACTAGGGTAGTGGCTGGGTGAATGTAAACAAAGAGCCAGATGATGTCATCAAGACAAATGGAAAAGTTTAGAAGAGGTAAAGCTTTAGCAAGGAGATGGGAGTTCAGGTTTTGGAAATGCTGAGTGTCAAGTATTGAAGGCAGTAGGTGGAGATATCCAACAGGCACCTGAATATATGAGGCTGGAGCTAAGGATAGAGATTAGGACTTGATATGTAAATGAGACACCTGCCAGAAAATAATTAAATCCACTAGACCTGATGAGATCTTCAAGAGAGAAAGAACAGAGAGGAACATGAGTGAATGAGTGGGCAATGAGAAGATGGCCCAAGACAGAGACTGGAAACAGTCATACTTTTCACAGGCAGGAGAGAGGTGAAAAAAGTAGTTAGAAATTAAAAAGAGGACCAGGAAAGAAGGGTTGTTGCCATGAGACAAAGGGGGATCCCTAAGGTTATAAGGAGGGAATGATCAACGTAATTAAAAACTACAAAAGTTCTAGGAGATAAACACAAAGAAAAGGCTATCAGAGATGTAGTACTTAAGAAATCACTGGTAACCTGTGGGGGGAAAAAAATTAGAAAAACTAAGGCAAAAAAGACATTAAGAATCATGAAGAAGAAACAGCTAACATAAATTCTAAATAAGTGAATGGTGAGGGATTAATCTCTCAATCAATACTGTGGAACTGCATAGACAGATAAACAGTACTGAATTACATTGAATAGAAAGTCAATTAAATTATTCATTAAAAAGATTTAATATAAAAGAGAAGAACAATCTCCAGTTAATTAACATAAACCTTATGCTTTTCTGAAATACATACTAGGACCACCTTTGGTTTTCCTGAGGCAGCTAGATGTTATAATAGAGTGCTGTGTCTAGAGTCAGGAAGAACTAGGTTCAAATCCAGTCTCAAACACTTAGTAGGTAAAGGACCTGAAGGCTAGTCAGCCTGTTTGTCTCAGTTTCCTCAACTGTAAAATGAGGATGATAATAACAACACCTTCCCTGTAAAATTGTTGTGAGGATCAAATGAGATAATATTTGTAAAACACTTACCACAGTGCCTAACACATAGGAGGCACTATATAAATGCTTATTCTCTTCCCCTTAAGGTAAACTAAACATTCTGCAAAAATTAAGTGAATCTTACTTGACAAAAGAAATCTTACTTGACCAAAGGGAACAGTTTTACCAATAAAATTATCTACCACTCCATCAACCAATCGATTCAAATTATTTTATTAAAACTACACATATCTGCTTACAGCTAAATAGTTTACCTCTTCTTTCCTCTTTTATAAGTAAGGATATCAAGGAAACAAATGTCAACTTGCTGATATTATTATGCCAAGGGTTCTTGGTAACTAAATACGATCTAGAAAAATCACAGAAACTAGTAAAGCTATATTTATTCCCCCACAAGACTCTAATAGCATCCAGTCATAACTATCATCCAGGTTACAAGGCTCTAATAGTTTCATTCTTCTTTGGTTTTTGTTTTTTTTGGTGAGGCAATCGGGGTTAAGTGACTTGCCCAAGGTCACACAGCTAGTAAGTGTTATGTGTCTGAGGCCAGACTTGAACTGAGGTCCTCCAGACTCTAAGGCCAGTGCTCTATACACTGCACCACCTAGCTGCCCCCAACAGTTTCATTCTTGATGATGACTTTGGTGCACAAAGTTGAAGGACCCTGCTTCTTTCAAAGTGCTGATTGAAGCTGTCATGACAATGTCACATTAGGAGGCAATGGCACTAGAGAACTAGGTGGCCAGCAAAGTTATCATTCATTTCACCAGAAGCAGAGGGACATTTTTAATATTACCTTTTTATAAATATTTTTCTAATGCTAGAAAATTTTGTCTTCCAAGGCATATTGTGAGATAAGCTATGCTAAATATATGAAAGCACAAAGCATTTAAGGGATTCAAGCCTTACCTAGCACACACAAATGACTTGTTCAGGTTCTACTAGTGAGCTAAAATAGAATTAACGCGTGAAGAATAATTACTACCTAGCAAGACTGAACAGTAGATAGGGCACTGGGCCTAGAGTCGGCAAGACCTAAATTGAAATCCACTTTCAGACACTTAACTAGCTGGGTGAACCTGGGCAAGTCACTTAATCTGTTTGCCTCAGTTACCTCATCTGTAAATTGAGAATAATAATAGCACCTACCTCTCAGGATTGTTGTAAGCATCAAACAAGATAGTAATTATAAAAGTGCTTAGTACGGTGCCTGGCACATAATTAAGCACTATATAAATGCTATTTATTGTTGTTGTTATTATAAAATGCAAAATTTACAATCTAAAATTATCTTCATCCTCTACCAAATCTGAATATGAGCAATTATTCTACTAGGTATGCGTGACTGATAATGTGATGCTTATTTTTACATATCTAAATTCTTAAAGCTACACTATATATTCTATGGAATTAAATCCTGAGGATGATAAATGACTCTTCCTAATGTTTGGGGGGGGAAGCAATAATTTGGATGTAAGTAATTTATAACCAATTACATGATTCAAGAAGAATTATGTATTTTTAAAATCTTCTAAGACTGAAAAGTTGCCTTCCAAGTTTATTTCTATTTAAGGGTTTATCATTATGTAACTGAATCATGTTTGTGTTATCTTACCAATTTCAGATTTGGATTCTATACTAGCTTACTGGGGAACAGAAAATTAGTTCTATCTAAAATGTGTGATCTGATTACACTGTCTAAATTCTATTTCAATCCATGGAAGTACTGGAGGAATCTTCACTTCTGCTCCTACATGCAGTTGTATCAAAATGAACAGCAACTCCTAACGTTCATGTATTGAACAATTCTGGTCAGTCACTCACTGATTCAATGGCATGCCCAACAGTGGGTAAGGAAACGTGCATCTCACACCCCAAAAATTTAGGAATGCAAGGCCCTAATCTGACCTGTCATTTCTAGTTAACTGCCTGCAATCCCATGTACAGCTACTATGTCATCCAGACAATGTTGCCTACTTTCCTGTGTCAAAGTACTGTCAGACACAAAGGTTTACATCCAATCACTCATTTTTATTTTAGTCTCAGTTGCCGTTCAGTCGTTTTTCAGTCATGTCTGACTCTTCATGACCTCATTTGGGGTTTTCTTAGCAAACATATTAGAGCGGTTTGCTATTTCCTTCTCCAGCTCATTTTACAGATGAGAAAAGTGAGGCCAACAGAGTTAAGTGACTTGCCCAGGGTCACACAGCTATTAAGTGTCTAAGGCCAAATTTGAACTCAGGTCCTGATTCCAAGCCCAGCACTCTCTCCACTATGCTACCTAGCTGCCCAGCTAGTCTCAAAATTAAGGCAATAACTCTGTGACAGAAATTCAAAGTTTATCAATAAGGTGATCATAATTTAATAAAAGACTACTTTGCATGTGAAAACTTTCTCTGAATATCAAAAGAATACCAACTGCCAAAATATTTTATAAAATGCAATTTTTGAAAATTGTTCAAACTACTTCACTCTTACTTTTGTATCATGGTCTGCCACTCTCCTTCTCTATCTCCAATAGGAAACCGGTCTATTTGTGCCTGTATTTTGGTTCTCCATTCTCGCATATAGTCTTCTATATCAAACACAAATGGATGTTGCCCAAAATTGGCATCTACCACCTCTCCTGGTGTTTGTAGCCCCACAGTAGGATACAAATTTGGCTGTAAGATAATATATTTCATTAGTTTATTTCCTAATACTCCAATTTCAAAAATTCTCTCTTGGAAAGAACATTTTTTTCCACTATAATAAATGCAGTCGGTTTTAAAAAGCATAAGCGAATTTATTTTATATAGACTATTTGCAGCTACCGATTAGTAGAGGTTATCTAAAATTGTCATTAAATAATCTAGTCCTATAACAATCATATACAGAATGTAAAACAGTCAACAAAAATCAGTTATGCAGGAAGGTAGCAAAGTATTTCTCCCAACAAAACTGTTTCTAGACACACATCTTTCTAAATCATCAGAAACGACTTGAGCATTCAAGTATGTCCACAGCATTATTTTTTCTAAAGAGATAATTTCTGTCCTCAAGAAACCTATGCATATTAATATACAAATGAAATAATGCATATAAAGCACTTTGCAAATTTTAAAGGTCTATAAATGTGAGTTATTATTATGATTATTTAGATATAGACAGATACATTCATACACGTGCATGAAGAAATGCCACTTTAAATTTATTTTTAAGGATAGGTCTCCTTATTTCACCCAGGTTAGAAATGGGCATTGAACTTCTGCTCTGCTTTTGGCCAGGGCCAATTCACCCTTCTTTAAGTATCCTGGGTTCTGTCCCTCCCGACATTCCCCTCTCCATCAAGGAGACCCATCATACTAATGCTGCACTTAGTGAAAACACCCAATCAGCCTAACCCACTGAACCTCAGAACTCCCAAGTTCAAGAGTTCCACTAGCCTCAAGTTCATTAACTGGTAGCAAGATTACTGGTGTGTGCTACCACGTCTGGCTAGAGCCTACTCTTAGATACATTCTTGTAAACTGCACCTTTAAAGTGTGTTGATGTGAAATCCTTACTGTACATGTACTGGATCCTGACTGTGCCTATGCTATCTTTATCTTTTAACATTTAACAGAAACCATCAAGTAAAAAGGTAAAGGAGATATTCATACAGAATCGTTAGGCAATGTTGAATAATCAGACTACAAAAAGTAAGGAATTTGTCTATTTAAACAGATATCTGAAATACACACACACACACTCATGCAGAGAGGCAGAGAGACAGACAGACATACACACAGAGTTCTCAAGATGGGGGATGGATTAGAATGCTTGGCAAATAAATAGGCGTTTAATAAATGCTTGAATTGACTGAAGTTTACGGGCACATAATATAAAATTTTGTGAACCTAACTACCTAATGTCTAAGAAAAATACTGAATTCCAGTAACAGACCTCTAAGATTTGTGGAGGGCACATAGGTAATCTAGTTTAAAAGACGGCTACACTGTGTAAAGAATGCTCGAGTACTCCTGACTCTTTCCTTGGCTGTTTAATCCTAGGCAAATCCCAACCTCTATGAGCTTCAACTCCCTAATTTGTGATACTGGCCCCACATATTTCACATGGGTTTTTATGAAGATTTAATTGGTGATGTACATAAAAGTACTATGAGAGGCATGAAGTGTTATACAATTATACATTAAATAATAACAGCATGGATGCTTGATATTAGGGCACACAGGTTAAGCCCTTCATTGATACATTTACTTAAGGAAATCAGAGAAGATAAAAAACAAATATTTTTAAACACATATTAAAGGGCCTAAGTATCACAGGCTGAAATCAGATGCTGTAAGCACTATCTGATATGCGACCAGAAATCAGAAACAAAAGAAAATGAGAGAAAACAGAAGCTCTACTGGAATTCTCTAAAGTCCTCTTAAGGAAATGTGCAAGTAAAATAAAACCCAAAATGTTATCTATATTTAACAATCTTCCTGATTCAATAGAAATACACTTTTATATCTGAAAGAAAGAGATCTACTTCAATCCTTAATTTTGTTAAAAAGGAAACTGAAGCTTAGAGAAAGCACATTATTTTTCTATTAGAAGCAATACTTAGAGGATTGTTTTTAAAAAGAATTAGATTATTCTAATAAGACTTATTCTACAATAAAGGTTATCAACACAGTGAACCCCATCCATAAAAGTAATAAAGTCACAATAAAAGAGCCAAACATATTATTAAAATATACTTATTCAATACTGACAAAATATATTCTGTTCTAACGAGTTACTGGTTATTGCAAATTTGGAGAATACTATTAACAACAAAAATTCAAACTACAAAATATATAAAGTTTGCTTCTAGATGTAAAATTATATGATTCAATGATGACCAACTTAGGCTTAGTTCATATGAAATAAATGAATATGATTTCTGGATACATAATCGACATTACAGTAGAAAATTTTCATGGGGGGAAGGGAAATGAAATCATAAATTTTGACTTCCTGAAAATACAAGGATTGATTTGAAATGCCTGTTTTCCAATGATACATGTAGGATTAAGTAGACTGCTACCATTGGTTCATTGCCTGAAATGGACTAGAAAAAGAGAGCCCTGTTATAGATCCTTTCATATGTATGGTAGAAAACTAGACAAAAATTTTTATGTTCTTTTCAAATGTTAAAAAAAAGAAAATACCGAAAACTTCCTTTAATCTACAGGCTAGAAGAAAACTGGTTTAAATATACTATATGTACCAAATTCAAGTTAACTTTTTTAAAAATTTTGTCCTACAAAAGAAACAATGTGTATAAGTGTCCACTCTTTAAAACTGTTAGATATAAACCATTTAACTTTTGTGGTTGTTTTGTGTGGGCCAGACCATTGATTTTACTGACAAAATAAATTCCTTCCATTAACACCGATAGGGTACCTGTTCTGTAACTTAAGAAGTCTCAGGGGTATACATGGGGCACTTAGAGGTTAAGCTGCTCCCCCAGGAATCACAGTCAGTTTATCTTACAAAAAGGCATTGAACCCATTTCTCCCTGACTCCAAGATTAATTCACTGTAACAGTGCCTCTTGATTTAATTATTAATAATATATTACAGTAAGCTTACTGTAAGAAAGCTTTTTAAAATGAAGAACGCTACCACTAAAAGGGCAGTCATGTTCCTAAATCTGTAACTAAATTAATCACACTATGGATTAACACAATATTTCTCAAACTGGGGTGAAGATCCCTGACAGAACTGTCACAAACATTTCTGAGAGGATTCCAGGCCCCTAAGCTGCAGAGAAGCAAATGAATGTTTTGGAGGGCAGTGGCAGGGGCAGCTCTCCCCAATTTTTAACATCTTCAGCTTTCCCAGCAACAGATCTGGTCTGATTTGTTGCATTCATTTTGTGTAGGAACAGCACAAATATGACATAGGACACAGGTTGTTCACATAGGCCCTTGTGGCTGTGATAAGCAAAAAGGAAATCTGTAAGAGAATAGCTTCGCTGACTGATGGGCTGGATCCATGCTACATTAACTCTGCTTAATGATAGAAAGAAAATAATTTATTAATTTAAAAGTAGGAGAAAACCAATAGCAAAACTGCTGGCAAAAAATGCCACTGAAGGAGATGGGACTTCTCAACTCTCTTATTTCCATACCTGCCCATAAGATAGAATTATTCAGCAAACAAAATGTGGTTTGATCTACTATAACTTGTTCTATAAGCTTAGCACTAAGGTAAACCAAAAGCCAAATGGCCACTGAGGCCTTAGTCTGCTATAGACATAACCCAAAGAACTTCATCACAAAAATCTTTAAAAGCAGGTAGTGATTAAAAGTTACATACAATCTTTAAAAAACAAAAACTCAAAAGTACCATTACAGGTAGAATTTTAAATATTCCAAAATTTTTAAAAAATTACTTTTTTAAATTTGATTTTCTTTTAAAACCCTCTATGTGGACCAATTTACAACAAATGGAAAAAAAGAAAACCTATAAAACTGGATATAATGGTTAAGTCCAATCCCTAACTTAGAAGGTCTACACTCATATAGTAATAACAGGAATGTGATCTCCCATGCATGGCATCTAAATACAACATATAAACACAGACGATACATACATATTTATATTTCTTCTATCATAACTTTATATATACAAACTAAGATACAAAATATACTCTAAAAAGATAGTTATTATCTTACCGGTAGATCTGTGAAGGCTATACCTGTAAAATACAAAAAGATAACCAATATTAGAATTGCTTTTCAAAAACATAGAATGCTGTGTACTTGGATGATAATCAGTTTACACAACTAAGTAAACTTTGATTCTAAAGACAAAGGGTGTTGTAATACAGAAACAGGTCAGCTCATGGAGTCAGCAGACACAATGTGAATTTCAGCTCCAACATTTGCTAACTGGCCTCATCTGTAAAATAAAAATAACACTTCCAGTACATACTCCTACCTCACATTGTAAACTTTCAAACTCCCTATCATGTATGAGCTATTATTATTATGCTGTTACTGCTTAAAATATTGTTCTTATTCCACTTTAGGGATTACTTTTAAGCCCTAGAAAGCAGTTCCAAATAAAGTAAGTGGCAAGATTTGCCACCATTGTATAGTCCAAAGAATATACTCTGAAGGCAATTACAAAGTCTAGTTCTAAAAACACTTCAAGAAAGAGCAGCTTTATTGGAATAAAGGTACAGCCTATAACAAGGTGATTAAAGATCAACATTCATTTGGATGTGTAAGTACTGGTATTGTTAGTTTAAATTTTTTTAAATCATTATGTTATAATCACATTATACAAGTTTGGCCTAAAAAGGCTACCACCTATGAATTGTTACAACAAAGCTTCTACATTTAGAAACCCTCCCCTCCCAAACCACTCTTTTTATAATACCTTAAAAATATTTTTAAAACAGTCATGCTGCCTTGACAATAGAAATACAGAACCATAAATGGTCCAAGTTTTATACCAAAATATACTAATTTCAGTTTTATTAATAGCAGAGAAAGTAAAAAGTCTATGCACCAAAGAAAATTCATTCAAATTCTTCAGAAATCTAAAAAAAAAAGAATGTCAACCAGTGCAACACAGGAAATTTTATAATTTTATTTTCTAACATCGATACAACAGCATTGACAAATTCTTAAGAGGAATTCCCTGTCTTCTTTGCAGACATCAATAATGTTATAACATGATCATTTTCTGATAATCTTTTGCTTTACTAATGACAAGATTGTATTGATTAAAACCTTTTCAAACATTTCCTAAAGATTCGAATAGCAAATCTATTTTGGTTTTAAGGAACAAAAGTTTTAAGATCTTGTCAATGGTTAACAGCTATCAGAGAAAACATACATCTAGCTCTATACAACGAACTACACACATATACATACATATACACAGACACATGCACATTTCACTTTTAAAAGCTGGGTATATTTTTTGACAATTTTTAAAGTAACTCCAATTTTTAATTCATTCGCAGAGGAAAGAAGTACTTTTAAAGTATTCAGCTGACAATTTTAAGAAAATCATTTAGTTGCAACTTTAAAAAATAAATACAAGAATTAACTATTAGCTCATTTACCTTTAATATTCATTGCCAGTTTTTTTAAAAAACTGTTTTAATTTAGTATGTATAGGAAAGTGTTCCAATAGACCAGATTACAAAATATAAGTACTCTACTAAGGATAGACATTTAGACTTCCTAAGAGGTATGACTGAACAATAATTAAACATTACTTGCCTGGTCTTGAAGAAACGCCTCAGGCACTGCCCCGAAGTACTCAAATTATTCGTAAGTAATTAAGACATGACCCTATTGGGTATCCTGTTCTTCCCTACCACTTTTAAATGCTTAAGGGAAAATATATTCAGACTTAAGACTTGGGAAAGTTTCATAGTATTTGATAAATCAAATGTAGTCGAGTCTCCTTCCCTTCCCACTTACACTCCAAAAAAACTCTTTTAAATAAAGAATGAATATTTTAAGAACCGTAACTAAAAAGACTACCTGTAATCATGCTACCTTTTAAAATCTCAGAAGAAAACATCTATTATAGTTTACATACAAGACTAATTTCTTCTTCTTTAATACAAGATCAATATTGTACATTCAACCAAACACTAAACAGACTACAACTCTTATCATAATGTTATCTCCTGAAGTTTAGAGCCAACTCTCTATTATTAGATGTTTCCAAAACTCTAGTCTCATTTTCTCCAGTGTAATATAAGATCAATCTTGTACATTCAATTAAGCATCCTGAAAATCCAAATCACGTAGGAACACAAAGACTCTTTTGACAAGTTTGCACTAGAAAACTATTAACAGCAAACAAATGAGAGCTTATTTTCGTGGGAAAAAAAACTTAGCCATTACAATCACCTTGAACCATTAAGAAACATATATGTAATCTTTATTAGTAGCCCTAATCAAAATCCCTCTGTGGACAGCCATAAAACAAGCATCCTTTATGATGCAAAGGAGGCAGACACAGCCCTTGCTACAATAATATGCCATAAGCACTTAACCAGATTCATAATCATGTAATAAGAATTTGAATTTTTAATTGTCAGATTATGAAAAGGAACCACAAATCAATACACACAGAGTAATAACAGACAGTTCAAGGAAATATTGTTATTACTAATATAGCTGGGAATTCAAACATTTCCTGGAAAAATTACTATGTTATGTTGGAAGGATCTATAAGATACAAAGAGTTAACTTGTATATTCTGATTTTAAAATTCTATTTCTTTGCTAAGAGCAATTTCTTTCAGCCTCCTTTTCATAGTTAAAAGATAGTGTATTTATATTTATCCTATTTTATTTTTGCCCCCTCCCACTTTCCCCAAATAGAAATAATTCCTTGTTAATAAAGTACCTGTTTTTATAGCTTATTGAGTTTTGGCTGTTTTTTTGTGGTTATTCTTTGAAGTATGCACTGAGGCTGTCCCCAAGAAGGGCGTTACTACCAGTCCCAGTCTTCATTCTGGAAGAAGGTAAATTGCAAGTGGAATTAATTGTAGGTTGGTGGCCTAAGAAATTGTTGGTAACGTATGAGCCAATTCCACGATTTTAGGCCAAAGTAAAATTTCGGCAGCTAACGAAGGTCAGAGACTTATGAAGGTAAGGGCTGCAAAAACCCAGAATTGGAATGCATTATTCCTAGCCATATACCTAGAATACTGCTTATCTTTTAAATGCCACAAAATGACTCAAACTGCTAAATATTTTTAAAGCACTAGGGTTGTTCTTTTCTTTTCCTTAAAAAATGGAATTTTAGATAGCTTAGAAAAGATTGTAAAATTCTGCTTCTGATATGAAAATCATGGAACAAGACTGAAGCCTACATTCTGCTTTAAATGTGTTATGTGTTATGATCTAAAAAATAACATTTTTCCTAGTAATTTTTCAAGTTTTAGGTTCGTCCAACCCTTTACTAATCCTTTTTCTCCCTTATGACCCACCCTATTTTTCTTTTTTCTTTTTTTTTTTAAAGAAAATACCTACTCACCTTCATGCCTCTATATTGCAGCCACCATCCTTCATCCATCCTTCTTTAGCAGAACTTTCCTCATAACATGTTAAAGTCATGTACTTGGTTGGTAACAATTAATCTTTTTCAACCATACTGCTGTTCCTCCCCCTCTCCCCCCAAGGGCTGATGATGTTGCATGAACAGCATTCTCAGCTTTTGCTGCACCAGGAAATGAACCACAAAATAAACCTAAGTTTCCTATACAGCAAAGCAGAAAACTCCCTAATCTAGATATTTTGTGGTATTGCCATAGTTTTCTTCTATCTCTGAAATACAATATAATTTTAAACAAAAGTAAAAATTCCCACAATTTTCACAAATTCACCCTGTATCTACCGCATCTACAGCAGATAATCAAAAATCAAGTATAACTATAGTGTTGTAAAGATGACAAATGCAAAAAAGAACCTGTTCTAGAATCAGAACATTTGCTTATTTTACATGCAATAAATTATCTCAGTACCTAAACTATGTCCATTCTTTGTGTAGAAGCAGGTATTGTTGATAAGGTTTACACAACAGCCAATGACATCACCAGTTGTAAAAGTTGGTCCATAGGGTTGTCCCGTTCCAGAAGAACAAAATGAATGTCCATCATCTCCATGGTAACCATATGAATGTTTATCCCAACCTAAACCGAAAGCAGTAATTTATTTATTGTACTTCATGTTTTATGTAAGGAATTTACTTTCTTTGTACTGGATTTATTCATTTAAGATTAATGATAAATACATAAAAGCCCATTAGAAGAATACAGAAGTGCTACAAAAAAAACCCAAAAAACAAATTCTCATTTGTACATTTAAATCTCTAATCAATGTATTAGAGTGTTTTTTAAACATTATAATGGTCTTGTGATAAAAAAAGAAGTTAGATATGAAACATAGGATGCTCCCACATGACAAAAAAAATACATGTAAATGTATTATTTGCAGGGTAACTTCACCATGTTCTTTTCTGAAAGGATGTTCATATACACATATATAATATATATATAATGTCCTGCCTTTTACATGATTTATTTCAAAAGCAACCCATAATTTAAAAAAGAGAGAGAGATGTTCTGTTCTACTCTTGTTTGACAGGACAAGGTTTTGATAATCGATCACCTTGGTTAACTAGGTGATTCAAATCTAAAGATTAAGCATTTTGTGATCCCTCAGGCAACATCACTGATCACCTTAAGCCATTTGAAGAGAACCTGAACTACAGATTATTGCTATCACAATGCTATATTTACATTAGAATAGATAACTTTCATTCTATATTAACTGTCATTTTAAACAATGAAACATCATTTAAAACATACCACTATGCTCTTTATATCCTTTACAACATTTATTATTACATAGATGCTGTTAAGATGACCTAGCAAGTAAAACATCTAAATACAAGTTGAAGCCAAACTGAACTGACTTATATTAAAAAAAAGCATTTAATACAGCTTTACATTAATGGTTTCAATTTCAAATTTTCAAAAAATCCAACTCAGTTTTGCAAACTAACAGGAGGGAAGAATGATGCAGATAAACATAAGATTCACTAAGATACATATTTTGGCGATATACCTGCCATCCTACTTATGTTTTCCTTAAGACAAATATATAAATTAGTTTATATTCCTCAGTACATACCCAATGGGTGAGGCAGCTTAGGGGTATATTAGTGGTTGGGGAAAGCCCACATACAGAAATTAGAACTGAAAAAGTTCTAATTTTGAAAGTTAAAAGACTATAAAAAGGTACAGTGATAAACTCTTAGCTTTGCATTAACCTAAATCACCTCTAAGGTCCACTCCAGCTCTAAATCTACGATCCTAAGAATAAAAGTTACCCTTTTCTTAGCCTGTCTTTAAAACAATCCAGCCTCCCCTTTGAATCCACAACTTAGACAATCAACTAAAATAAATATTCTTTTATTCCTTGCCCATTTAAAACTGTCACTAATCCCAAATATGAAGACAAATAGCAGCTACCTGCAGTTCTACACTATACTTCAAACACAAGTATACCTGGTAGTCTATTCATGTTCACACCTTGAGCAGAAAGACCAATTCCCATGTAACTGTAAAAAAGAAAAGCAGGTTATTCCTTATGTAAACAAATTATGAACAGTACATGACACAATCAGAAACATGCTTAAGACACATGGAGACTGTATAGTGTCAATAGATTTGCTGGGTTTATAGGAAAAATAACATTCAAATTCATTGAGTTACAAAAAAGAAATATCACCCACCCAAGAGGACCAGGACTGTGTAATCAATAAATACACTTGGTTTATAGGAAAATAAAACAGCAATAATAATTACTTCTTTTACCAACACTTATAAATCCCTTCCTACTAACCTACTGAGGATGATCTTTAATAACATCCTATCTGCCCAATCAAAATATAAAATCCTTTCTGGAAGAAAGGACAAAATTTTTCAAGCAGATCAAAAAGAACAACTAGAAAATCAAAGGAAAAAGCATTTTCATATAATGTAAAATTATTAACATTTTAAAATATGTATTTTAAAAAGTATGACGATTTTGAAATAGATTTTTGGCAAATAGACAAAATCCAACACAACAAAGACCCACCGATTTATAATTATCAAGATGCTATATGAGCTAAGAGTATGAGGAAAAGAATCAGAGATTCTATCTGAGTAATCATGATTGTAAGACAAAAGAAGACATCAAAAATATCAGGGAATAGTGGAAGATTCTATATTTTTTATTGTGATACATTTCTGCTTACCATATTCACTTACAAAATTTCTTTCCATTTCTATCTCTATGCTAAAATAAGTGCCAGGAGTAAGAGAACTGTAGGTTTATCCTTGGCTCAGATTTAACAAAAAAAAAAAAAAAAAAAAAAAGACTAGGCCATGGATATTCATTCTCTCTCTCTCTCTCTCACACACACTCACTCACACACACACACACACACACACACACACACACACACACACAGGCATCAACAAGCAATATGATAAAATGAAAAGAATAATGGATTTAGAATCAAAGAATCTGGGTTTTAATCCTGATTCTGCTACCTGCTGTATGACTTTGGGCAAGTCACTTAAGCTCTTTCCTTGGTTTCTTCATCTGAAAGTTGGGGAGGAGTCTGAGGAATTGGACTACGCAGTGCTTCTTATACTGTGAGTATTTTCACAGTTTAAGAAGTGCTGAAGGAGTCAGGAGCGGAAAAAGTTTAAGAAGCCCTGGACTAGATAACCTTGAAGTCAATCAATCAACAAGCAGTTATTAAGAACGTCCTGAGTTCCAGGTACTGTGCTAGGTGCTAGGGATACAAAGCAAGAAAAAAGGAAAGGAGGAAAAAAAAGGAGACAGGAGAGAAGAAAAATAATTCCTATTCTTAAGGTTCTTACTTTCTATCAAAGAAGACAACAAATCTAAGTAAATACAGAATTTTTAAAAAATAATAAATGTAGTAGGGGGGTAGCTAGGTGATGCAGTGCATAGAGCTCCAGTCTTGGAGTCAGGAGGACCTGAGTTCAAATGTGATCTCAGACACTTGACACTTAACTAGCTGTGTGACCCTGGGCAAGTCACTTAACCCCAATTGCCTAACCAAAAAGCACACAAAATAATAATAACAATAACAATAATAATAATAATAATAAATGCAGGAAAATAAAGTTCAGGGGGGCTCTAGCAATCGGGGGCCAGAATCAGGCTTCATGTTACAGGGGTGCTTGAACTATGTCTTAGAGGAAGAAAAGGATCTTATGAGGTAGACATGGGGAGGGAGTAAGTACAATGCAGACAGACGGGACTGTCAACACAAAGGCACAGAAAGAGAAGACGAAGCATCTTGTGTGAGGAACCGAGAAATGGCCAATTTGGCTGGATAACAGAGTGCAAGGGGAGGCAGGTAAAATGAGACTGGAAAAGTATGATCACATTTTGAAGGGCTTTAAAAGTCAAAGTTCACATCTTATCCTGAAAACAACCACTGGAGCCACTTGAGTTTACTGAGTAGAGGAATGGTATGGTGATATCATCATCAAAAGAAAACTATTCTGACACCTGTGTGGAGAGGAGTTTAGAATGGGAAGAGATCTGAGGTGAGGAAACTAATTAGAGGATCATTGAACAGTTCAGAGGGCATTCTGAACTAAGGTGGTAGCTATGTGAACAGAGAAACAGGATTGGATATGAGAGAGGTAAAGCAAGGGTTCTTAACCTAGATTTCAAGGAGTCCATAAACTTGGATATGGGAAAAAAAATACATCTATTTCAATCTAATTGGTCTCATTGGTAATCCTATGTATTTTATTTTGTGCATTTAAAAACATTATCCTGAGGAATAGGCTTTACCAGACATTCAAAGAGGTCCATAACACAAAAAAAGATTTAAGAGTCCCTATCACAGAGGTAAAAACAGCAAGATTTGGCAAATGATTAGATGTATGGGGTAAAAGAGAATAAAGCGTTGAGGATAATGCCAAGATTAAGAACTTGAGAGAATGAAAAGAATGGTGTTCTCATAAACATACATGCAGAAGTTTGGGAGTAAGATAATGAATTGTTTGGGACATGAGACAATTGAGATGGTTATGAGATAATCAGTCTGAAATGTCTAATAGGTATCTGGTAGATTAGAGTTCGAGAGAGATTTCTACTAGATATACAGAACTGTGATTCAGTCAATAATAGAAATGAAATAGTTAAACCCATGGGAGCTGCTGAGATCCCAGAGAAAATAGATAAAGAAAATAAGCACAGGACAGAGTCTTGTGAATACCCACAGTAAAGGGGTGTGATACGGATGATGAGACAGCAAAGAAGACTGAGGAGTCATCATACAGGTAGGAAAACCAGAAAAAGTAGTATCATAAAAACCCAAAGAAAGAGAATCCAAGAGCAGAGAGTGATCAAGTGACAAATGCAGCAAAGAAGTCAAGAAGGATAAGAATTTTACTAAAACCACCAGACATGACAATTCAAAGATAGCTGAAGAGAGCAGTGGCAGTTGTATAAGAAGCAAGGATGCAAAGAGTTTAACAAAGAGGGAAGAAATAGAGGCCTGTAAATTTAGATACTTTTCCTCCAAAGGTTTGGAAAAAGGAAAGGGAAGAGAAAAGACTACAGCCTGAGAGAATGCTAAGGTCTAATGAAAGGTTTTGGCCAATGGAGGAGGCTTGGTCATAGTTAAAGGCAATAAGGAAAGAGTCAGTAGAGAAGTAGAGGAGGAGAAGGTGGGATATGATTAAAAGGACAATCTGCTGGAAAACATGGGAAAATACGAAATCAAGGGAGCAAATTTTGGCAACAAGGGACACCTCACTATCAAAGATGGGAAGAAAGGACAAGATTCCTTTGAGCAAACATCTAGGATCCTATATTTAAGAGAAAGCTCCAAGGAATGAAGAACAAAAAAAGCAGTAGTTGCAAGGTGACTGAAACATGGTGTTTTCACTTAGTACTCTCTTTTTAAATTTCAAAGTACCTCTGCTCTAAGAAGGTAAAGGAAAAATTACCCACTAGAGCCCCAATTTATTTTCTTGGCCTAATATCTACTGGCAGCATTGGCAGAACCCCACTCCTTGATCAAGTTTATGCCTTTTACCTCAGGTACCAAAGATGACAGGAAGCTTGTCAGGAACAGAATAGTAAATATGACTCATTAATCATAACTCTACCCTAAGGAGACTGCCTCTTTTTTTTTTTAAATACCCCTTAGAAAAGAGTGTAAACAACTGATTTCTTACTTCTTTTTCATTAACAATCCTGCTGTCCCTTATAGGCCATTCCCTTCCCCTCCACCTGTCAATTTCCTAATAACCTATTCAATGTCAATCAGTTAACCTACTAATTAATCTAACATAGATCTACAAATTTACTGAATTCAACTTTTTGGTTGAGCATTATATCTTTCCTCCTTGCCATTTATAATGCAGTCAGTACACTTTTATTCACTATTCTTTTTGTGACATGAAAATTTAAAAAAAAAAATCAGAGCATAAGATCAGTCAATCAAGGCTGAACAAAACCCAAGAATATACAGATTTTTTAGGGCACACAGTAACAGGAGATCTATCACCAGCACAATGTAAGCTTCCAGCATTAGTTTTGAGGGTTTGGTGCTTCAGTATCACAAATACTCAATCAATTACCAGAATCACAAATCATTCATTTAACAAATATTTATTAAGGAAAGGTCTTATATTCAAAGCATTGTGCTAGAAGCTATATGTGATAAAATGATGAAAAGGATAAAGAGAAACTGAAAGAAACTTTAGAAGTTATCTAGTCCAAACCCTACATTTTGATACACAAGGAAATCAAGGCATAAAGTGATCTGAACTGATTTGCCCAAGGTCACATAGCAACTCAGTTATTAGTAGCAGAGCTAAGACTAAATCCCAGGTCTCCCATTTACAAATCCACAGTGCTCAAAATAAGATCTAGTTATAAAATCAAGTGGGTGGTGGCAAAAATATAGATATAATAGCTACATATGTAAATAAAAACTTACTTTTTAAATCTTATAAAAGCAAATCTTGAAAACTAAAAATACTTTTTCAAAAAACTTATTTATTTAGAAAATTCAGAAAAATGGATTGCACAAATTCAGAAGCTTTGGAAGGGAGGGGACTGGAAAACTGAAGTTTAAATGCAAAGAAATCTCATTTTAGACCTCTTTGATAGGGCTGTAACAAAACTAAAATTTCCAACAATATTTGCCACTGTTTAATATTATCTTCATCTTTACTAGTATCTGCAACAACACATGGGAACCTCAGCAAAGCATACACATACTTCCAATAACTTTAAAACACACTCCTTTCTGCACATCATAAATTCCTCCCCCAGCCTTTTGATTGACAGAGTGATCAAGTCTGGCCAATAAGAAAACAACCGTTAACCAGGACCAGAGACAGTATGCTTTACCTACCAATACCTAATCCCCACTACAGACTTGGACTCTATCCCTAGGTCCCTCAGCTCATAAGTAAACTTTTACTTAAGTCTTCCCCAGAACCAGACCTCTCCCAAAATTCTGTGCAGCTACTACAACTGTCTAAACTTCATAATAAATCCTCCAAC